GTTAAATTCAAAACCTAGTTCTAATAAAGCATAAAAATATTTTTCTTTCGAATAAAACAAGTTTCAATATCCTAGCGTTAATAGTTTTCGTTTTAATGGCAAATCAAAAGGGTCAGTTTCTTCTGGGACACGCTGTATAAGTATTTTTGAATTAAACCTTGAAAATTGAAAACGGCCAATGAACAGTAGTCATGGGAAGGAGCGTTGACATATCCGGACGACCCCAACCCTACTCATTGTCTATTTTCAACTTTGGCCGCTTTTTCGTGACTTGACGGTGTCAATATGCATGCCTAAAGACGAATAATCAAAAGATTTGTTCGTTGAATTTGATTTTTTTTAAGGTCCAGTATTTCTTATGGGCTGTCTGTTCGCATCTATCTCCAACTCGCTTAACCAATCACAACACGCACATGAACTCTTGCATATATGCTGCACGCACACATTGCAGTATTCCAAGGACATTTTACGACCTTACAATGTCTTGCTAGTTGAACTGTGACTCGCACTCCATTCCTCTTGAGAAAATCAATAAAATTTTGATCTACACTACGCCAGACGTTGGAGCGTCGAAAGTAATGCCGCTTTGACGGAAATAAATAGGGCTCGACATTTATGAATAAACGATCGACAGCCGGAAAACCAACTCAGAGAATAGTTTATTGGGTTCCTTCCCTCACAAATGCCCTACGACGAGGTATAAGTTGAGTAATAAAGCACAAGAGGTAGCTGGCGTAATTTACTTGTTAAAGAGTCAGCCCTTACAGCCAAGAACACAAGTGAGAGCACAAAAGTAATGGGTAAACGTAATGTGTGCGACAAGTACTTGCAGTCTATAGGTTTGCGCTTGATTCTGCAGACAGAACGTCAAAGGAATAAAATCCTTCATAATGTGATATGTTGACAAGCCGGCCAGTGACTAATAAATTTCAATAGCATTGTTAGGTGCAGTCCTAAACAAACAGTTTTATAAATATTAAGAGAACATCCCTTCCGCTAATTACTTCATCGTTATTTTTGGTGTGGAAGTATGATGCGTGAAAACTTAACGATTTTCAGTATTTTCAATCGGCTGTCCACAAAAGTAGCTTCTGTTTGGTGTGCTCATTAATGTCTTAAAAATACGATATTTCTTGGGAGTTCTTGAGTAATTGGGCATTCTTTTCATGCCTGTATCTTTGTTTGTCTAAGTATAATCAGATTACTTTATACCAATCAGTTCATGCTGGCTGATTACGGCTAATAAGCCAGCCATGGCTATTCCAGTTTCCTTTGTCTGCCAGAAAAGCATTGCTGCCTGTAATATGGATGTATATACTATATAATATAATAATATATAATATTTTGTCTTTCAGTGTGCCCACAGGGTTACTACGGCGAGAAGTGCGCGCAGTCCTGCCGGAACTGTCCCGACTGTCACTTTGTGACGGGTGAATGTCTCTGCAACCTCGGCACCTACGGGTCGGCCTGCGACCGCAGTAAGCTCCATCGATCAGTCTTTCAACCCCCTGCTATCCGGAAAACCATGCGAGCGCTAACAGTAAAGTGGATGACTGTATCGACTGTCAGTGGCTGTCTGCATGCTACTACCTGTCGTCTGTCTCGTCTCGGGTTGAAGGCCCACTCCATTTTCTAATCAATATTCCCCTACTCCGACCCCCTCCCGCCCTCCACCAGAGGCCTCAAAATAGTACTCCTGTTGGCTCCTCACCATACGTGAAGAATGCGCTCTGTCGAGGTTTAGGTAAAGAGATGTATCTATCTGCACGAGTCATTAGGTTCAACCAGGCGCGCCTTCCATATCGCACTCAGGCTGGGAAGAGGTCATGCCAAGTACAGTTTGAGCCCACGTTAGCTACAGTAGATTCTCTGTCTCATGAAACAGCAATCAAAATTCTGAACTTTGTTGTTGATTTAAACGGATTACTTAAGTATTGACACTCACTGATGAACGTTCGCCAACCGCTAACGGGACTCACTTGTCCTGCTCCACCTTTGCCTTGGGCCTTATTCCTCGGGCCTTGACAGTAGCTGTAGCAGCTAATAGTATAGGCAGATAGTATTGCCGGCAAAGAAACAGGAGACCGGAATAGCCATTTCTGGCTTTTTAGCCGTCGTCAGCCAGTCATACCCAGCCCCAAGAGGTGCATCAGCCGAGCCTCGAACTCGCAACTTTGTTGCTCCAAGGCTAACACTCCAACCATTGAGCCACGAGCTCGTTGTTTTGCCGATTTAGTTTACGAAATACGGATACTCGTTGATTAATGTTTACCGACCGCTAACGGAACTCCTTTTTCCCGCTCTGCCTTGGACCTCGCTTCTTGGGCCCTGACAGCAGTTGTAGAAATGAGGTCCTGGACAGAGCGGGACAAGGCAGTTATGTTAGCGGTCGGCGAACATTCATCAACGAGTACTATGACCTAGTGTGCACACCTACAAGTTTGTTTCTTCCCAAACGCAAAGACATAGCAGCACGGCTGACATCGGTACCTTTTGTTCACCTGGTCCGTGATTCAAATTCGCATACACGCAGCCGTCACCCTCAGTAACTGAATCGCCACTACTGCATAATTTGATAACGCTTCGACCATCGTTTCCGACGATGTCCATCGTGCGTCCCATAGCATAATGAGTACATGGCCGGTGACTTGAGCACGGACTTATTTATGGCAACATTAGACTTACATAGCATCTAACGCACTCACCTCTTCTCCATCCATCTGAGTCCTGTATTAAGCCAAAGCAGAGAAATCCAGAGGCGGTGGCTAGCGTGGCGTGAGCCTGCGCCTTGGTGGACATCCCTTCTAATGCCTACCATGCCCCCAATCTGTCCCCTCCTTGTGTTTGTCCAGCACACCTACCGCATAACCTGTTTGAGGGGCAACATAATTCAACACTGACCTATCACATAACCTCGCATGAGTACCGCTGTCGTTAGAGTTGATGTGACAGTAAATTGCATGCCATCCATGTAGAAATTTCAACACTTCTTTCTCTCTGACGCTTGCTCTCTCTCTCTCCCTCCTTCTTTCTGTAGGCTGTGAGGCGGACAAATTCGGCGAGTCCTGTTCAAGGAATTGCCAGTGTTCTAACGGTGGTCGTTGCTCGCCTACTGTTGGAACTTGCTATTGTCAACACCCCTTTATTGGTCCTACCTGCCTCGTGAGGAATGTGAGTCTACTTGACCTACCCGCCGCTATTTGTGCGTCCTTCTTATTCAATAAGTCTCCTTCGGGGGGGGGAGACTGGGCATGGATACAACATGTACAGCAGACGTAGCGTGTTCTATAAACTGATTAGTAGGTTAAGGGTGTTCAGGCAAATGGTTAGTCGTCTGCAAAAACAGACGAGGCAAATACGCTAAATTTAGACCAATCGGACGCTCGAGTCAGGGTACACAGTAGAATTCACTTCATCAAGGCGGATTTGCAAGCGATCTAATCTTAATTCCCCTTCCTTCCCTCATCGAAACTTAAAGATTGAGGGTCCGGCAGGATATCCGAGTCCAGGCACATGTAAAAACGCACGAACGGCACGTTCCAGGAAATAACTGAGGTGGGCTTGCCGGCTGGAAGTTTGATAATTTGATGTTTCGAAATGCCACCCGACAATTCAACCATCGATTCCGACTATGTCCACCGTATGTTCCCCAACCTGACGATGTACGGACGATGACTTTAGCGTAGATAAGCTTTAAGTGCTTGTGGGTTTGGGATGCATCTACCGCATCCTACCTCTCTCTCTCTTCCCTCACCCGCCTGAGCCCGGTATCATGGCCAAGTCAAGAAGACCGAAGGCGGGATCGGACGCAAGCGGCCGGAGCCC